TGGGTCGAAATGAGAAAACAGAGAGGACAGCTAATATTTGTAGATCTAGAGGTAAATAAAGTAAAGAGTTGGAGGTATGATTGACAGCGGGTCAACACGCAGCTATATAAGTAAAAAGGGTTTGCAAAAGCTGCGACTCGGGTTTAAGGTTAAACATTTAGATGAGCCCGTAGTGAATAAACTAGCTAATAGTACTGTAATTGTAATGGATAGATATGTTGAAGGGGTTTAGATATACTTCCGGCTCGAAGCAGAGGGGAAGGTGGAACGCGTTCTCCACTCTTTGACTCTCTTGGTGGAAGATAATCTTCCTTTTGACATTCTTTTAGGCATGGATTGGGGTGAAGCTGCAGATGCGGATATAAAGTTAAGGGATCATGAGTGTTGGCTCCCTAGTCCGCAGGGTGGAAAGAAGAGAATCCGCCTGTTCCGTGAATCTGGTAAGGAAAGGAGCTTAGCTCATTGTTGTATGAGTGCCCCCGCGTTCGCCCGCCATTTGAAAACGTATAATTTGTATGATCAAGTGTTTGTAGCATATGTGCACCCGGTGAAGGAAGAAGAAGTCAAAGAAGAGGCAAAGTCCCCCGAAATTGAAAAGATTTTGAAAGAATTCACAGATGTGGCAGAGGCCCCAAGCGGTGTAGTGGAACGACCAATCAAACATCGCATTGAGATTGTACTAGGAAACCAGATTCCTAAGGGACCTATATATAGAATGTCATCCAAAGAATTGGATGAATTTCGAATCCAGCTCGATGAAATGTTGCAAAAGGGATGGATACGGCCTAGCTCCTCGCCTTATGGTGCGCCAGTGCTATTTGTGCCAAAGAAAGATGGCGGGGTCCGCATGATTATAAACGGTTGAATGATATAACAGTTAAAAATGCTGAACCACTGCCGAGAATAAACGATTTGTTGGATCGAGTGCAGGGTAGCAAGTACTTCACTAAGATTGATTTGAAGTCTGGTTACCATCAGATTGAGGTAGAGCCAGAAGACCAATACAAGACTGCCTTTCGAACAAGGTATGGGCACTATGAGTTTTGTGTTGCCATTTGGTCTTACGAATGCCCCTGCAACTTTCCAAAGAACGATGAATGAGCTTTTCCGCGAGTGGCTTGATAAATTTGTCGTTGTTTATCTTGATGATATTTTGATTTTTAGTAAAGATCTGAAAGAACATTGTGAGCACCTTCAACTTGTGCTAAAAAAATTACGTGAGGCAAAATTGAAAGTGAACCCCAAGAAGTGTGAGTGGGCTAAGCGTCAGGTTTTATATCTGGGCATGTGCTTGATGGTGATGGGATCAAACTGGAAGACGCAAAGATTGCAGCATTTTGCGATTTGACTGAGTTGTGGTCGTTCTTTGGGCTAGCCAACTATTATCGGAAGTTCGTTCGACACTTCACGATAATTGTTGCACCCCTTCGCAGATTGCTGAAGTGGGACTCTGATTGTACGACTTCGCTCAAGCGTCTAAAGAAATGTCTAATTAATTATCCGGTTTTGAAGGTTGTTGATCCTTCTTTGCCCTTTGTCGTCACAACCGACGCCAGTCAGTACGGGATAGGTGCTGTACTCCAACAGGACGACGGTAATGGATATAGGCCTGTTGAATTTATGTCCCGACGACTGCCTAATGAGAAAGTCGCCGCTTATACATATGAGAGGGAGTTGTTTGCTCTCCGCAAAGCTTTAGATCACTGACGACACTATCTCTTAGGACGCCACTTCAAGGTGTACTCAGATCATAAGTCACTTCGCTGGCTTAAAACACAGGCGCGGATGATACCTAAGTTGACTAGGGGGGCCGCTGAGATTGATCAGTATGATTTTGAGCTAAAGCCAGTAAAGGGGAAATATAATGTTGCTGCTGATGCATTAAGTCAGGGATCTGATTTCTTGGGTGCCATTGTAACATATTTAGATGTGGGCACTGATGTGCAAGAGAAGATTACAAAAGAGTATTCCACAGATCCTGTTTATGGCGCTATAATTAAGCGTATACAGGAAGCGCCACAAGAGTTTCCTAATTATCGAATTACACAAGGACTGTTGTTTGAGCAGACTGATGTGCATGATAGGCTATGTATGCCAAATTTGGAAGATATAAAAGTCTGATCTTGGGGGAATGCCATGACACAGAAGGTCATTTCGGGTGGAAAAAAACATATGCAAACCTTTTGCGTTCCTACATTTGGCCTCGTATGAAACCCGACTGCATCGCTTATGTGCAGAGCTATCAAGTGTGTCAAAGGAATAAGAGCACTACTCGGCCTCCCTTTGGTTTATTGAAGCCTTTGCCAATCTCAACAGGTCTGGGAGACTCTGTGTCTATTGACTTTATGGACACCAAGGTAAAAAGCAGGAATGGAAAAACGCAAGTTATGGTCATTGTTGACAGGTTAAGTAAGTATGCTGTCTTTGTAGCATTGCCAGCGGAAGCCAGAACAAAATTGGTAATCTGGGAATTCTTTAACCACTGGGTGAAAGATTATGGACATCCCCTAACGATTGTAAGTGACAAAGATTCGCGGTTCACGAGTGAACAATGGCAGCAACTGATGAATGTTAGTGGCTCTAAGTTGACTATGTCATCAGGTCGACATCCTGAGACAAATGGCCAGACTGAGAAAATGAACAAGATTTTGCAGCAAACGCTACGTATGTACATCCGTTCCGACCAGATTGACTGGGACAAGCATTTGCCCAAAGTTGCTAGTGCCTATTACAACTCTGTTCACCTATCTACATGCAAGACTCCGATGGAGTTGCATCTGGGATGGCGTCCACGCAGACCTATCGATCGCCTGAACCCAGATCAAGTGCATAAGCTTCCACTAGGAACAAGTGAATTTGCAATACAATATCAGAAAGATATTGAGAAAGTAAAAGAGAATATAATAAAGGCACAACATCAAATGATAGAACAGGCGAATAAGCACAGAAGACCTCAGTTTGCTGCAGGTGATCTGGTATGGGTTAAGTCTAAAGAATTCGTTCCTGAAGAGAACATTTCCCAAAAACTGCTACCAGCCTACAGAGGACCTTGGCAGGTTCTAGATGTGGTTGGAAATGTGGATGGACCTTCTTACGTGATTGAGATTCCTCTGCGTTTGCATACGTATCTAGTGTTTCACGTTTCAAAGCTCTTACCTTGCGTGACAAATGAGTTGTTTCCCAGTCGTAGATCGGCGATTCCTCCTAGTATGGATGGGAAATATGATGTAGACAAGATTGTCGCTGAAAGTACTCTTCAAACTGGACGTAGAGGCAGACCCCAGCGACAATATAAAGTAAGATTTGCATATCAGGACCCAAGTGAAGGTCGCTGGTTCACAAGAGAAGAATTGATTGAGTCTGCAACTCATATTGTATGTGCTTATGAAAAAGCCAGAAGAGGAATAAGCATCATAGATAGATGAAGGTTTTCTCAGAGGACTTCGAAACTAGGCCGGCGAGAGTAAAAGGGTCTTTACCCGTTCAGACCCTGAATGACAAACGCAGCATAATGGGGCCCACTCGGCCAGAACTCAATTCGTGAAAAGAAGATCAAAAGACATGTTCTCTGGGTCAAAAGTCACATCCTAACTGAAGTGAGGAGTTGTGTCAAAGGTCACAGTCGTGCCCCAGGATGAACAGTTGCAGCATTCAATTGTGAGAGTCACGTCTGTTCGTCCAGGGGGCTGTGCAAGTCATGTCTGTTCGTGCAGTAGATGTGTCTGTTCGTGCAGAAGTTGTGTCTGTTCGAATGGAAGTCAGT